ATTCCTGCTTTCAGACTAAATAGGACAATACCACAGGAGTATTTAAACAAACATAATAAATGGGAAATTAATTTTCTGTTCAGTTCTTTTTCTCCATATAGAATCTGGCAGCTGTTTTCACTTAACTTATTTGAATGATTTAAATATTAAGCTACATGTATTTTAGATATGAGTCCAGAAGAAAATTTTTATACTAGTATATATTCTTAATAATTGAAGAATGTACCCTTAAATAACAATTTTCTCCCCAAATTAGTGTTTAGAAAGAGCTATGAAGTTTGCGTTTGAAGAGTTCCATCTCTGGTATCAATTTGCATTGTCCTTGATGGCAGCAGGAAAAGTAAGTCTTAATTTTTGGATGTAATTCTTGTATTCATGGCTTTTGATAACTTTTGGCACTTCCATAATTCTAATCTGTTGTGTTTTTGAAAATAATTCTAATCCTCAAATCAGCTAGGTACACTGTACTCCTGAATTTATGCCTAGTGCTGTACAAAGAATGTTGTTATTTCAGTAGTTTCTGACTTGGGAAGACTGAAAGGCGATGATAAGAACTGTCTTGCCAACAAGCTTAACCTAAGCTAATTGGCTGTAAGTAGTGAATTGTACCAGATCGTATTATCCAGTAACAACATTGTTTAAGTGCTGGTTTGATGAATGAATTTTACACTTAGGTACAAATTAATGCCGATTCATGATGCTATTGCTTTTTTTTTTTCCTTTGGGAATTTCTGACTGTGTCTTTTTTAATATTACTGTCTTTGAGACTGTATTCTGTGCAATTGAAGTAAGTTGGATTTTTTTTTTTTTTTAATTTTATATAACCTAGGAACTTATCAGATGCAAGCTTCTGGTTTTGGTTCTTTTTGCTTTTCCCTGTCATGTTATAGGAAATAAATCACATTCATTATGTAATGTAAATAATACTAATTTTCTAAAAGATCATTCTCAATGGGGTTAATTTGCTTGTCTTCAGGATGGGCTAAAGGAATGATTTGTATTTTCTTGAGAAAATATATTTAGGTGCACGTTGGTTCTGAAGGGGCTTGGTTCTTCCCATTTTCTGTCTACTTATCTTGTAAACTGTGATTGGATGGAGACAAATGAATTAAAAAAAGAGCAGTGCCACTCTGTTATACAGTCTTATATCAGAACTATTCCTAAGTGCTGTTGCAACTCCCAAAGAGCACTAAAACACTGCATCTTGTGAAGATTCTGTCCTGTTCCTGCTCTTTCATTTGCCTGGCTCAGATATTGTGAGCTTACAGGCCTAGCAGTTTAAATGCGTCTCAAACCTGTTTTCTGAATCATGTACCATTGGACTTACATTCTGGGCAAATGTTTCTCTAGGGGCACTTAGTGATAGTTCACAGGGGTTAAATAATGATAGCAGTGCCTAAAGTCCTGTGTTTTGCTTGCAAACAGAGTTGTGACAAATTGTCAACAAAATGTTTAGTAATATCGTCTTCACATGGGAAAAATGAAATAAATGATGAAAATAGGAATCTTCTATTTGTGAAACCTATTTGTGCTTTTAGTAATTTCAATGGAAAATGTTTTTAACAGTCTGCTCGAGCTGTTAAAGTCTTGAAGGAATGTATACGTTTGAAACCAGATGATGCAACTATTCCACTCCTTGCTGCAAAGCTCTGTATGGGTTCTCTCCACTGGGTAAGCTTTGCTACTCTGTCTTTTCAGTGAGAGCTGTGCTAAAATGCAACAAAACATTGATTTAGGAATGTAGCAAATACTTTTGCACAGTGACCACATGTACTTGGTCATCTCTGAAAATACAGCACAGATAATCCATGCACGTGCACATCCCTGTTTGCATGGCTAATTTAAAATATTTGACAGCAATGGTTGTGTTTATCAAGGTAGCATATCTTATTACTGATCTAAGACAGCTAAAAATGTATCAGAAATTGAAACATTGGCATACAGAGACTAAAAATGCACTTTGACTTCTATTTCCTCTGCAAGTTCTTTTGGAAGATAATGAGGCAAATGTCTTACGTTCAAGAGGCTCTTCTGGTGATACCATGTTTGCAGACAGATGGGGTTTATGAATTCCTAGTAGGGACATTAAAAAAAAAAAAAGTTATTGGAGTTGTATTTTAGATAACCTTGAAATTGCTTTGTTTGTACAAAAAACAGTAAGATGATCAAAGAACATTGTGTGGTTTTCAAGATTCACATGTAATTTTTAGAAGAATAAGTGTATTTAAAAGAGGAGGGAAAGATCACAATCAGAATTAGGAAAAATAGTGCAGTAGTGGAAACATGACTTGCTGAGTCTGACAAAAATACAGTCTTAATTATTAACGTAGATCCTAGTTCTGTAAATTGTTCCCTATGGACTGACTCCATATGGAGTAGCTTACTGTACTTAACATTTACATTTACTGGAGTGGATTCAAATGTTATTTTTTTTTCTTTGTAGATGGTCAAAATAGTGTGCTAGCATGCCTGTGCAGTTAGGCAGTTTTACATATTTATTTATGAGGTCACATACATTCAGCAATACTGTATGTGATGCAGAGTTCTGCATGGCTCTACTTTTTTTTGTAGAGTTGGAGTCATAGTTCCTGTAATTGATTTTCTTAAAGAAATAGTTCATGTGGCAAGAACTCTATTTATTAAATACAAAAATGGATTTATTAAAAAAAAAAAAAAAGAAAAGAAAAATGGCAAAAACACAGTAAGTTTAGAGTGGTCGGTGTGTTCTGTGACAGAGTTTATCTCAGCCATAGGAACGGGTGCTTTGGCTTAAATCTGTGTTCGTTACTCCGTATTTAGCAGGAAAACTAAGTCTAATGGAAAATTAAATAGTCTTTAAAAGCAATCATGACGGAGATTTCAACAGACTCAGCATGCGTAGTACACATGCTATGCATTCTTCTCATTATAATGTAAGCTTTAAGCTAGTTTTAGACTCACATGGATGTTGTGTAATATTTTCAGTTGGAAGAAGCTGAAAGATTTGCCAAAGCAGTCGTTGATCTTGGGGACAAAACGTCAGAGTTCAAAGCAAAAGGCTACTTGGCACTGGGATTGACTTACAGTCTGCAAGCTACTGATGGTAAGATAAGAACAAACATTCCCATTTGGAAATTCCCCTGTTGCCTAAAGAAGGATACCTAGCAGCATGCTAGACTTAAAATTAAAGCTTCTGTGGGCAACCATTTTTTTCAATCCATGTATTAGAACTTCTTCAATGAGCGTGTGGAATACAATCTCTTGATTTTGCATATCACTGATTAAATATATCCTTTGCAGCATCTTTGCGAGGGATGCAAGAGGTCTTGCAGAGAAAGGCTCTTCTTGCGTTTCAGAGGTGAGTGGGTGTTAATCTTTTAGTTTAGTTCTGCTGTGTGTCATGAAAAGCTTTTTTATATGTTAAAAAGAGGAACTTGTAAAAGATTGTGTAATGAGGATTTCACCTCTGGGAGTCTCCCTTTGTGAGTACAAAATGTATTTCTTTAGCATTTACTTTCATCATTTTCTGTCAGAAATATCTAAATTGATTTCTAAGGATTTCCTTTTATTTCATTTTAAAGATGTGTGTGGCGCTCTCATATGAAATATTTGCTTAAAGGAATATTCTGATCTAGATGGGAAAGTTGTATGATACCACGTTTCAAGTCATGGTTCAATGTAGAAGACTTATAGACTGATCAGATTATATTGCAGGCTTTTGCAATTATCTCTGTAGAGGCAGAGTGGTAATTGAGGCCTTGCTGCTGTGGATGAGTGGTGAAATGCAGGTAGGCAGGTAGCAAGAAAAAAGTTATGTCTGGAGATTTAACAGTGTAGGCAGTGACAATGCAAATTCCCCATCTTCCAAGTGTCTTACACAGAAGTAGCACTGTTGGGGAAGATGCTAGTTCATTCTCAAGGGTTTGACTCTGCGAATGAAATGGCAATAAACAGGTGAATGAGAACGTCTCTACCCTAATTATAGAAGAAACAAATCTTGATGGCAAAGCTTGCAGAATTGCTGCAACATCTAAATATGTCTCTTTTTATGTTTATATACTTTTGAAAACCCTACATAGGTGAGATAGACCTAAATACTTCAGGGAAACTGATTTGTGCATTCATGTGAATGTGAAGTCTGTGTGATTTTTGTATCTGAGGGGACAGAGCTGAAAAAGCATTTTGCAAGTAACTTTAGAGTGCAGCTGGTATGTATTGGTCCTTCCTTTTTCTGTCTTAAGTATTCCTCTGTATGTAAATATGTTTTAACATATCTTTATCTTCCTGTTTCCTAATGGTTTTAGTAGTTTTTTATTAGTTAGCATTCTTTCTCCATGTTGAAACTGAACTTTCTACCTCCCGGTTTATACCTCAGTTTCTAACCCATCCCCCTTACCACTGACTTAATCATCAGTATTTCAAAAATACTGTGATAACCATTTCTTGGAATTTCCACCCACTCACTACTTTTGAGGTTCTAATGGTGTTTTGATTTCTTCTGCTGATTCTTTGAAACAGCAAGGGAAGAAAGGAACCGTAGCCTGAAGCTAGTCCACTCCAGTTCAGTGCTTGCTGGCTGTACCCTCCAGTTTAGTATAGCGATTCCCAAAATTCTGAGAGTCATTCGCTGCTATTGATCTGCCTGGAAAATTTCAATTTTCTGAGGTTTGAGATCATGCAGCATTTTGACTGCCCATAAATATGAGGATGATTTTATAGGTAGCATACCGCTCATTTTGGTAATATTTTATTAGGCTGAGATAAAAGAGAGTAGTTGAGTTAAAAGAGACCAAGTAGTACACAGTGTTTCAAACAGAATCAGTAGGTTAGGAGAACTATTTTTCGAGCGATATTCAGCTCCTTATCACTGCAAATTATTCTTTCACACTCTCTATTCAAATCATAAAGACATAGAATGGTTTGGGTTGGAAGGGACCTTAAAGATCATCAAGTTCCAACCCCCCTCCCATGGGCAGGGACACCTTCCACTAGCCCAGGTTGCTCAAAGCCTCATCCAGCCTGGCCTTGAACACCTCCAGGGATGGGGCATCCACAGCTTCCCTGGGCAACCTGTTCCAGTGCCTCACCACCCTCACAGTGAAAAATTTCTTCCTAATATCTAATCTAAATCTCCTCTCTTTCAGCTTGAAGCCATTACCCCTCGTCCTATCACAACACTTCCTGATGAAGAGTCCCTCCCCATCTCTCCTGTAGCCCCCTTTAAGTACTGGAAGGCTGCTATAAGGTCTCCCTGGAGCCTTCTCTTCTCCAGGCTGAACAGCCCCAACTCTCTCAGCCTGTCCTCATGTGGGAGGTGCTCCAGCCCTCTGATCATTTTTGTGGACCTCCTCTGGACCCAGTCCAACAGGTCCAGGTCTTTCCTGTGCTGAGGACCCCAGAGCTGAACGCAGTACTGCAAGTGGGGTCTCATGAGAGCAGAGTAGAGGGGGAGAATCACCTTCCTCGACCTGCTGGTCACAGTTCCTTCGACGGACAGGACACAGTTGGCTTTCTGGGCAGCAAGCGCACATTGCTGGGTCACGTTATTATTGCACAGAACCAAACAAATATTGTTGGTCCATTGTGTGTTATGTCATCTTTCACCCAGGACATTTTCTGTTTCATTCTCTACAGCTGAACAATAAGTCTCTTGATACCTTCCTAAAAGTTCAGTTTTGAAGACTTCCTAGCAGTGAATAGTACCAGCTGAAATCTGAAAACATATCTAGCATCTCTTCAGTGAACCACTACAGATGTCCTTTAGCTATATAGGTTGAGTGGAACTTTAGTTTTGTAGTGATATGAGGCTTTGAAATATTTGTGCTAACTAACAGGATATAAATTTATACACAGAAAGTCTTGGGAATATGAGGATTAATTGCATCTGCTTTCTAGGCATCTCTCTGATGCTTTGGGGTTTTCTTTGTTTTTTGTTTGTTTGTTTTTTGTTGGTTTTTTTTTTATATAAACTCCTAGAAACAATGTTTTGTATTTTTAAGTGAATGTTCCAGAGTATTGACGTTAAGTTATATATTCATCCTTTCTGCTGGCCTTTCTCAGAATGAACTTGTGCATAAGCTTTAAATTAAAGTATCTTTTTGAGATTTGAAGTAGTGAATTGCTAATATTGCTGTTAGTGATATTGCTCATATGAGTAGCTCAGAGTCCACACAGAATCTTGAGTAGAATGGTTTGGCCCTCAAAAAGAACAGAGTTTCTGCATCTCAAAGATCCTATAACTGCCTTCTAAGAGAAGGGGAGAAGTATGTTTTGAAAGGTGATTGTTCTGCATATTAACATGGTTCCCCACTTGTGTTCATAGACTCACATCTGATAGATCAGCTGTACTGGAAATACACTTCAATGTGGTTGATAATGTTGCTGGTTCCTTGTGTTGACAGCATAGATACAGGACGTTACTGAAAATTTTGTTACCACAGAGAATATGTTATGCTCAGCATACCAGAGTCATGCCCACTTTCTCTTCCCACATCTTAAAAATAAATGTTTTCCAGGAGGTGGAAGCTGAAATTCTCCATTCATCTCCTACACAGTTTATAAAGTGAGCAGCTGCACTGGACTTGGTAGTTTGATGTGCTAGGTTTGGGGGGTTTTTTGTGGGTTTTTTGATAACTTACCTAGAAGACCAATTCCTGAAGAAATAGCAGTCCTAAAGAAATACAGTTTTGTTTTGGACCTTTGCCTATGCCAGATTTCAAGGCTACCAGTTTGTAATAGTGGCCATTTGAGAAGCTGCTTATTGCTGTCTTTGCTGAGGGGGTGTTTGTTTCACAAGATTATTTTTTTTTTTTGGAAGACTTTCAGTGGTTTTCCCGCAGTTGGTGTGAATTAAGTTTCACAGAACTCACCAAATGGTTGAGAGATAGTAACAGCTTTATTCTTTCACTAGCTGAAGCTTGCGTGACTGAACAAGTACTCTCTAAAGTAAATTATCTTGTTCTCACTTAGTCTTACTTAACTTGTGAACTTAAATTTTAAAAAGGACTGGTCCTGGACCCTATTAGGCTTTATATTTGACTCTGATCTCCAAGGCAGAGGTAAAGTTAACAAAGTGTGAAACTGTCTCCTAATAATGTAAACTACTTTGGTACGTGTTGGGTGTAATTGCTAAACTAATGGAGCTGTCTCTTTGGACTTGGGAAGACAGAAATGCACAAGTCGGAAGCAGAAGGTTCCCTTTGTGGTTGTAATGGCTTAAAGGTCAATTTTGTTCCTCTCGATGGAGATGACTTGTCAGATGTTCTGAAATTATTGTTACACATCCTATTTCTAAATGAGCCTCAATTAAAAGAATGCAACAAAGATAAATTAAAAAGAAAATATTTCCAGGCTTGCTGCCTGGTGTGTGTTTACTACACATCATTTCGGGGTACAGCCATAAATTTTTTTTGTCCTTATGCTCAAGCATCCCCCACCAAAAAAAACCCCTTATCTTGCAGTAGAAATATTGTATTGCAAGGGAAAACAGTAGAGTGTATTACAAGAAGATCTTCTGTGGGATAAGTGTCCAAAGGAATAAGTCAAGTGCATTTGACCAAATGCACACCAAAAGAAGTGTGCATTTGACCAAAACATTAAAAACAAAGAGCATTTCAAAAAAAGGTTGAAAAAAGTTATTTCTTTGTTTTAACGTTTGGGGTTACTTGCAGCAGCAGTAGTTACAAATATTTTGAGTGTGAATAATCGCAAAGCACTGCTGCTATTGGGCAGCTCAACATTTTTGTGGACAAAAGTCATATTTATAAAAAGTTCATCAGCATGAACTTCTCATCTGAACTCCAACCATAGGTTCATGATGAGTCAGATCTTATGCTGCCTTTTACTGCAATGCTATGATAAAGCAGCTGTCCAGCCTAGATTTCTTTTACATTGCTACATAGCAAGGTGCTCTGCTAACTTAATCTCAAAGCAACTCAAAGCCATGAAGTAACTGGCTTCCTAGGAGGCTTAGTATGCTGGACTGAAAATGTGCTTAAACTTTGGGAGTCTGAAGAATTAACAAAACACTGATCTGCTTTGTTGCTACTCTTCCTATTTGGCTTCTGTGCTTCAGAACCATCCTGGTCAGGATCAGTGGGATTGCTTGTGTACTTCTTGTGCAGATGGCATAATTCTTCTGTTTGAAGGCGTGTTGTTTTGGGGGATTTTTTAATTGTTTTTTTTTTTTTCTGTAAGAAAACTGCTTAATTAATTTTTATTATAAATGTTCTTAGATAATTATATCTATTGTTTGTTTAGGACTATATTTTAATTGAAGAATCATTTTGTATTGCTCATTTTTAAGATTTATACTGAAATTATATAATTAATTTATGTTAAAAATTACTCTTTAATGGCCCAAAGTGCTCTCTTTAAATCAAGGACAATTGAGAATTATGAGAAAATTCACTGGAATGAACACTACTTACAGCAAAATATGAACATATGTGTAGTTAAGGGATCTGAATATGCATACGTGAATATATGTGCATTTGTGTGTTTGTCTAACCTGTACTAACAGGGGAAAAGTTCACTGTTTTTTGTTTTCTTTCTTTGTTTTTAAGGGCTCACAGTTTGTCTCCAACAGATCATCTGGCAGCATTTTACTTGGCACTGCAGCTTGCAATATCCAGACAGGTTAGTTGTGTTTTAAAAGTACAGCCTCACACTGTCATATGAAGATTAGAATTTTATCTGTTGATGGATATAGATGAAGATTTGTTCAATAAAAACCTGGTTTTACTTGTGTATATATGCATATATATGGAAAAAAAACCCCAAAATATTCCCTGTGAACACCTTCAGTCTTTTACACTTCTCCAGAGTTCTGCCACAGTATTCTAGGATCAGAATAAGACATAAGTTATTCTCTTTATTTGTTTCAGCATTTGTGTTGGTGAATGGAGAGGAAAAATAGTGTCAGTTTTTTACCCTGTTTTTACCTATTATGTGTAATCTCTGCTCAGACTGGTTATCTGGAGAGAAGGACTCTTGAATCTAGTCTTTAACAGTCTTGACAGTGCTTAAATCTTGAGTATCTGCTAAGATCCAGGCCTTTTCTGAATAGTTTTAGGAGGTTTGGTATTGTGAACAAAATTACAAGAATGCGTTTAAGAAAACTGGAAAATATTTTAAAGCTATAAAAGAGATCAGAGCTCCGTCCAACTTGTACAGCTGTTATGTTTAAGGGATTTAGGATTCTACCATATGTCACCTGAATTTGGATAATGTGGAGCTGCTTTGTATATGTCATGATAAGCCTCTTCCTGTGTCACGTTTATTTTAGGAAGTAGTTTTGAGCACAGTAGTTTACATACTCTAGGTGACTACTTTTCATTGCTAATGAGTAGCAGAGGCATTGGACTATATCACATTAGAGTGGAGTGGATTGTCACTTCAATAGCACAAAATATTTTTCGGTAGCAGGCTATGACTCCGTACTTCTGAATTCCAAACTTCTCATGTTGCTTAATTAAATTACCTGGTTTTAATACTTAGTGTACTTATTTTGAGCAAAAGCACATGCATCTGAGGTGATAATGAAAATCCCTGGGAAGAAAAGTTATTTTTGCCATCTAGCTGTATATTTTAGTTTATGTATTCCAATTAAAATATTTTCAAAATTGTATCAAAATACAAGCAATACTTCAAAAAGAATAGTAAGTGAATATTTTAAAGGGCTGAAGGGAACGGTTTTATTAAAATGGGTATCTTGTTTTCCAGGGTTAATGTATTATTTAATTTTTACTGTTCACTGATAGAACATCAGGTCCATTTTAAACTTCTGAGTAGTGTCTTACGGGAGTCTATAGAATTCTACATGGTATCCAGGTGAATATTTTGAAAATTTTATGGACATGCAATCAAGTAACAGGCAATACTTCTGATAGTGGTGCTTTCTTTTTCTGCCTTTTTTTGATCAGATACCAGAAGCTTTGGGTTATGTTCGTCAGGCTCTGCAGCTACAAGGAGATGATGCCAACTCTCTTCATCTCCTTGCACTCTTGCTATCAGCCCAGAAACACTATCATGATGCTTTGAATATCATTGATATGGCCTTGAGTGAATATCCAGAAAATTTTATGTGAGTGAATGTCGTGTTTGCTTTCTACACTCGTCTCATATTTCTTTTCCTTAGATTCTCATTCATTTCAAGAGGGGATGGATCTGAAGATTGGTCTGGGTTTTTTTTCCCCACAGTCTTCTCCCATACCCATTTAATGCGAGTCTGCCTTTAATAAAGGCTTGTGAAGTAGTGATTAAGGATTTGTTTTTGAAAGGGAGGCTAGAGCTGGATAGTTGATCTTATTTTTTTTTCTACAGACACCCTGTTGCATGCTTTAGAGTATTTTTCTGTCTTCTGTTTTTATGCAATATTCTAAGAAAGATAAACAGGACTTTACTATTATCTAGGGTAGTTTTAGCTCATCCTACAGATAACTTATGCATATTGTATGGAATCTATTCTGTAAAATACACCATAACAGACAGTCTTCTCTTTTGCCTGTGTAATAACCAGTCATCTGAAGTTGGCTGATGCATAACTAAACAAGTGAACAGGAAAGAAGCACATTTGCTAGATGTACTGTTGTTGTTTAAGAAAGAAATAATTCTTTGTGTTTATTCATCATGTTAAATATATCTTAAAATATGTTTGGATTTGTACTTTTGTAAGGGCTTGGGGTTTTTTTATTATTCTCTTATGAAAATCTAATGAAATGCTTTACAGCAAAATATCTCGGACTTCTTCCATTAACTTCCAATGTTCTATTCTGATGCTTTACCAGTAGTCACTAAGGTTGTAATCCATACTATATCAAATATGCTAAATGCTTATTTAGGCAATTTTTGAAGTATCTCAATCTTAACTGTTAAATGACTGGTCTGTATCATAAATTGTTACTATATCAACATAGCAGAATAATACTATTTATTTAAGAATTGTTGCTTTGAAAATAGAGATTATAGTGTTTTTCCTTCCTATTACTTGACATTTCATGCCTTCTTTTGGCTGTCTATATAAGGTATTGTTGCCTTTTTCCTCATAAATCTGACCAGGACCTCTGTTGATATTGCCTCTCCTCAGAACTTCTGTGGCTCACAGCCAGGTCCGTGCAACTGCTTTTGTGGCCTTTTGCTGTTTCTCACTTTGTAGTTTATCCACACATGTGTAACTTGTCTCTGCTCTTATTAGGGGCTTCCACACAAGCCTCACAAGTTCAGAACTATCTAGCAGTTCCTTTCCCGAACCTATCAGTAAGTCATGGTTTGAGAGGCAATTGAAGTATCAGCTACCTAATTTTATACCCTATTATTGGTCTGTCATAATCTGTCTCTTCTTGTTTCATCTTCTGCCACTTAGTGGCAATGTAAATGACAAAGAAGAAGCTGCCATATGTCTCATAATAATAATAGTCCAGAAGAAGTATTTCTGACTCTGCAGTTCTCCCTATTGTAATAAGAGAATAAAGGATCATTCACTAAAATGTTTAAAATTACTCCTGTGAGCATGCAAAAGGTATTTGTGGGTTTTTCAAGTGCGGTTCATGGCCTTTCTGTACTTGTTTGTAACTGCATCTTGTGGTTAAACATGTTGCCAGAGTTGTTATAAAAAGTTCTGATCTTTTTATTAATGCATGTATGTATATTAATCATATGGGTCATAATAGTGGCTCTAAATTTTTAGTCCTGTTGTATCATTGTATTATACAAACACCGTGGTGTTACAGTGTACTATGTTACGGTCTACTGGTACAGATCAGGGAATTTGAGAGGAATATCTTCGCAGTAGGAGTTGCCAGTAGATGTGGCAATAATTGCTGAAGAATTCAAGGTGAATCACAATTACATGTATCTCTAGACAGTCTTTCAGTCTTGTTTTTACTGCTGTCAAGTTACTTCTCGTTCACAGATAAGTCAAGGATATGATTCTGATTCCTTGTATGCTCTCTGCAATTGATACTGACAGTCAGACAGGCACATCTGGTCAATAATATAAATTTGGTTTGCTTCCTTCATGTAACTGGGTTATTTTTGCAAGTATTTATGAGCAAAACCTCAAATTTAGAGTCTGTTCTTGTGCACTTTGTCTGGTGCTCTTGAAATGGTAGGCAATGTCTAACTGCATATACATAAAGTATAAAACACGAGTGCTTAGTGTTTCGTTGATACCATTTTCTTATTCTGCAACTTCTGAAGACAGTACAATCCTAGAAGACTGGGAAGAGATCCTCTTGTGTTCCTCTAAGACTTGCCAGTTTTTACATATACTGAAACATTTCATTATTCACCTGTGGTACTGTACTGGCTTTTGTAAACACTTCATATCACAGTGTTTTATCTTTCAGTTACATCTACCATCCCAGTAAGCTAACTAATAGAAGAGTTTTCATGGTATTCTCTGTATTTCTGATAGAATCCATTACTTCAGCCTTATGTAAAATGATACTTCGGTGGCTTTGCAGCACAATAAATCTCTGTGCTTGCAAAATATTAAAGTAAAACATAGGGATTGTGATTTATGTTATTTTGTATTTCTTTTATTGTTATTCTTACCCACATACCTCTGTATGCTGTAATTGCATTGCTGCATTGAGTGCTGTCGTGCCCTGTTCAGAGCTGTATGTTCTCTTTCTTTTGCTTTTCTTTGAAAAGAATCTAAATTTTCAGAATCTTATAATACTACATCTTTTAAAATGCCAGCAATTGCAAGGAAATCATAGAATACACTGTGAGTCATGCTGAGAAGTGGATACTTTACAGCACTCTTCTCTTGTAATCAATTAGTAAATATGTTGTCTGTCAGTTTTTAACAGTTGAAAGTTTGATGCATTTGTAGAATTCATGTTCAATATTTGAAGTGTACAGCAAGCATACCTTCCTATCTTAAATTAGCATTAACCTTCCTGCACTATAAAGCTAGAAAGTTGCTGAACAAATATGGCCAATCAGATAATGATTTTGCCCCGTGCCCCTCTAGGCCAGTAAACAGAAATTCCTTAGAGCCGAAGAGTTCTTTCCCATCGTTATCTAAAGGAGTCGAAGGTATGAGCAAACATCACATTGTGCTGTTAGCGGCAAAGTATAGCTTTTTCTTTAATAGAGAGCTGATTGTTCTTCCTTTGTTCATTATAGTGGCAGCATAAATATGCAATCTGCTCTGAGACGTAAAGGGTTATAGGAAAAACTATTGCTGAAAATCTAAGAAACCTCTAAAGTGATACAGGTATGTAGTAATGTATTCCAGAAATAATAAAAATGCAAGATACCAGCTAAATATCGGTAGCACTATCAGTTCACACTTTTTTTAAGCTTAAATGCTAGATTGCAACTCTTCTACTTGTAAACAGGTTAGCTATGTTTTTTTGAGCAATACAAGCAATCTGCTTTTAAGTGCTAGCTAACCTCTGAAGCCTCCTGAAATCTGAGAGTGCTTTGATCCAGAGACAAAAAGATCTCTAGACAAAAGATTATTGAACAGGTTAAGATTACTGAAAAAATTAAGAATACCTTACTTTGGTGAGATGGGTGGGAGTAAGGTGCCAGCACCAAAAAAAACCTGAATAGTTAATCTCAGTCAGGTCCTACTGCATTTGAATTAATCCAAAGTTACACTGTTTTTTTCCCCACCTTTCATTAGACAACTTGTCCCTGTAGTAAAAATGTGAAGTTCAGTTATTCTCAAGCTTGGCAGGATTTGAACCCGCAGATGATGCAGCTCAGAGACCTATCCATCAAACTGTGTGGGAGACGGGGTGAGATGATCCATCTCTCCTTTTGAAACAAGCAGGGACGTGCTGCCCTGAATGCAAAGAGTAGGCAGGAAGGAGCCACAATATATCCAAAATTACTGGAGTACTTAACTGTGAGGGAGGCTTGAGGTCTTAGCTGCTTGGGTTTTGCTTTAATTTTATTTATTTTAATCCAGTTATTGCCTACTCGAATGTCTAAGCAGTCCCAAAGGTCTGCATCACAGTCTGCAGGTATATTCAAGGTGATGCAAGGTAGTTGTGTTGCGTTGGTTCATATTGGGCCTGTATGTCTTGTGCGGTACGTATAGTACAGTTACATGTATGACTACTTGAGAAGCGTTATTTACAAACTCTTTTCCATGACTCCTTCCTGTCTTTTTATCTGCTTGTTACAAGGGAATCTATATCTTAGTGGTCTTTTGAATGATATGAAATCTTGAAACAACACTTCCGTATGTTTCTTATTCATGGTTAGTCAAAAGTAGATTCTCCATAAAGGGAGACAGAGTCAGGTTTCTTAGTGAAACACTTGTGATATTTTTTTCTTAATCTTAGCCATTTGGGGTTCCCTCATTATTTCAAGTGTTGGGGCACTTGAAGACAATTGTAGTGTCTGAAATTAGAGTAATTAGGCAAAATAAATATTATTAATTGCTAATTTTATGCTGAAAATTGAACTGCAATTAATAGCAGTTGACTGGCTTTTAAAGTAGCAGAAGTAGGGAACAGCAGATGGGTTATTTGAGGAGTGCAAGCATGTTCTTTTAATGTTAAGTACACTTGACAAGGAAAGACATATGGTGACACATTTGAAGACAACTGAAGACTAAGTTCACAGTTTATACATTTACATTTGTTGAAGTGTGACTTGAATTTTTTTTTTTCTTCCAAGAATATTTCACAGAAGCGTCAGGCCAATGTATCGCTCCTTTGAAAACTATTAAATCCTTTCCTTCCTGACCCTCAAGGGCTCTTTTGAGCTACAGCAGATTTCCCAGAATTGCAGAGCCTTTTAACATCCCTCTCAGTTCACTGATTAACAAACTTGTTTTGGGAGTTGTCCAGGTGGGCGTAACAGAAGAGATGGTTGGCTCATGCATTGTATGAGGATACATACACCAAAGTTTGGTGGGACAGGAGTGTTTTTGTCAGTTAAAGGGAATAGGATATGCTGTTCTGTTTTCCCAATGTTGGTTGTAGTTGTACTACAGTGTGTGGTGCTGGTTAACTTCCCCCCCCCCCCCCCC